AAAAAGACGTCCCAACTCCTCCTCTTTCGATTGACGAAAACCGCAGATCGCTAGCTATTGCGGTTGTCGAGTTATTGAGCTTACACCCACCCCTATTTAATTCTGGCGCCGACAATAGTTGGTTTCTTGACATAAAATACAAAAAAATATACTGTGACTTTAAACGGATGCATTCCTCAAACTGGAAGCTAGGGCAACAATTGGTGTGAGCTCTGAAAATTATAAAGCTGACTGAAATATGAGATGTATCATGCGTCCCCCAAATTGAAATCTGAAATATGTTGATGTGGTTGTGGAAGTGGGTGATGGTTAAAAGTAGAGCCACACCGACACCTATACCCACAGCCGCATCGCACAGCAATGTCCGCAGGCGCATCTCACACTCACACCCACACCCACACCCGCAATTTATGCGCTCATCTGCTAATGCTAACAAACAGTAAAGACCTTTTTTTTTGAGGTTGTATGTAGTAGGATGGCGATCTCGATAAAATAATGCTCTTTTATAACATTTGACCAGAGCATCGAAAATAGATCTCTTCTGATCGAAAACTTGAAATTCAGAAGGTTTGACAAACTTCTTAAAGACGTATATTTCTAGACTCCGAAAGTTATCCGTCAAGTTATATCAAATCGAACTCTTTTCTTAGAATAGTATTGTTATCATTCCTATTACTTAAGTTTAAGCTACATACGAAGGAGCACAAAAATTAAAACTTAGTATTGATGATTCAGTGAATCGAGAACTATTAATATTAACTTATCAAATCTTAAAGGTTGCTCGCTTTTTATTAAGATAAGTAGGTCAGTAACTGGTTAAAGTTGAGCGTACAATGAAACACAATGTTCTCTTCTTATTCATCACATGAATACTTCTAGGAATATGTATGCATTACAAATAAGAGATTGATTCTGCAAAATTTGCTAAGAAATAGGCACATAATTTACTTATCTAACTATTGCCCATTCCAAAAAAAGAAGGCGGATGGGTATTTTTTGAATTACTTCTGTACGGATTGAGTTAGGGGGCTGCGATTTTCACCATTGGAAAGAGGAAATGAAGATGCATCGAACCATATATGAAAACATTTTTTTTACTAATTTCCAAACAGTTTTACATAGAGCTTCTAGAAGAACAGCATATCTCTTATGGCCGCGATGTTATTTTATTGATTTTCAAGAGTATGGTAGAACTATCAGGTGAAGCGCTACAAAACTATCTAAAAATTCTATTCCTAACCGCTACCAGTAAGATATTCTAGTCATTGGAGTGCAATTTACCATCCCATTTTTTCAACAAAATAATAAAAAAATTCAAGTTTTTCTAATTTTTTGATGAAAAATCACTTTTTTTTCATGTATGAGAAAAAAGCAATTTTTTGAGAACGTTTGACTAAAACTGTGAGGAAAGTAGTCAGAAAAATGTTTTTATATCTGGTTCAATGCGTTTTCATCACCTCTTTCCAATGGTAAAAACCGTAGCTCTCTAACTCAATTCGTTCACGCGTTATTCAAAAAATACCCACCCACACCCTTTTTTTGGAATGGGCAATAGTTCAGTTTTTTGTCGTATAAAAGAGTGAGAATACAAGAAGGACCAATGTTATCAATACAGAGAATCAAGTTTATTCATTTTCGTATTTTTTCCATTATACAATTTAAAAAAGAAGAGTTCAATTATTTTAATTGATTCACGTATTGTATGTAGTATGCTATAAATTATACAAATTGTTCTAATGTATCTCACACCTTTTGCATTATGTAATTTTGCAATTTATGTAAATATAAAGTTAATAGAATTATTTTTGGTATTACATCTTCATATACTATTTAAGTCCTACTTTTTAAAAAAGAAAAAGACGATTTTCATGAAAAACAAGAATGAAACTCATTTTTGCTTACCAAGCAGCTAGTTCAGATGATCTAAGTAGTTGACAGTTACAATCGAGAGAGCGGGTGTGAACCTTCTCTTCATACTCAATCGCACCCATACCCACACTCAATCGGAACTAAACTTAAGATTGGAATACAATGAACTATTCAAATTGAAGCGAATTCGCACATTTTTTCAATTATGAAAAGTAGCATCGAAAGAAATATATCTGTGCAAGAACTAAAGCATGGAAGTAACAAAAAGTTATATTAGAAAATTGTTTATCTTACATTATTGATTTGAAGAATGCCTCGGAAACTGAAGGATGTCGTATATATTAAAAAACAAATATTTTGTGAAGAGTTAAAAGAAAACTCATTCTTATTCCTCGAGAAAGAACGTTCTGATGTTTGGATGAAAACTCTACACAATCATCTGAAAAAGAAAACAATATATCTCACTAACCAATTCCAGTTATTTCTATTGTTTCGTTAACATTTTAAACTATAGTTGTTTGTCCAGCTTCGTAATGTTTTAGTTGTCTAATCGTTTCATAAACATTTCAAAGATGTTCTAACTGATATCTCGTATCAACTTAGATATTTTCCATTTCTTTCGGTACGATAATAATAGAATGAATTACTTAAAACACGTCATAAAAAAGTGTTCACCAAATAGATATTATTCGTTAAACTTTTTTGTACACTGAGAGAAATAAATGATTTTATTCTCTATAGACTTTTAAAAGAAATTCTTCAAAGAAAATAAAAACACCGCGTTACCTGGTCTATTAAGAAATAAAAATGTTAAAAACATAGACAGAACTATGTTTTACGTCATCTATTATGTTATTTATGTCCCAACTTTTAAGAGTGACCAATTTACATTTACAAAATTTTATTAAATTGAATAATAAATTCTTATAGATTTAAATTTATTTTAAATATAAATTCTCATAATTTAAACTTATTTTGGATTTAAATTTGTGTTACTATATTATTTTTAAATGATCGTTTTCATTCACTTTTGTATGTATCAATACAATAAATCGTATTTTTTTTCGTTAATAGAAATCGTATTTTTCAAAAAAAAAAAACTAAAATGAATCGACCTTCCGAAATTACTTGCGTTCCTGCAATTGATAATACTATTGTGTGACAAGTATCGAAGACATGAAGAAGAAGAAAAGAAAGTTCTATTATGTTTTTAGACTAGTTATCGAAGTCATTACATATTATAGGGATATTTAAATTGAATTTGCTAGAAATCAAACTTTCGATTGATAATGCAGTGTTTCAGTACAGTAGAAAATAAAAACTGAAAAGATGCGTTTAAAAACGAAAAAAGTCTTGTCTCTGAACAAAAAGAAACACAGAAGTTTTAAAGAATTTGTAGCACTCAATTTTTTTCCATATTTTAATTATCTATTTCGATTGTATATTTTATTGTAAAAGTAGAACAATTACTTACAATAAAATCCTCTTTTTAGCTGTAAATTTCAATGAGTATGCTGAGAAAAAATAAGATATTTCTGCTGATCGTATCAATTAAATTACAAATATCTCATGAATTTCTTAGCAAAATGAAGAATTCATTTTCAATGAAATTACTTTTTATTTTTACTTCGTACTTTTGCTTCATTTTAGCACCAATGCGTACAAGTTCCATTGATATTCACCCAAATGCAATATGGTCAAAGAATGGTATCACTGTTGCTGGAGGACATGGATATGGCAGTAAAACCACTCAACTCGATCACCCATGGGGTTTGTACGTCGACGATGATCTAACGATTTATGTCGCTGATTATTGGAATCATCGTATTGTGGAATGGAAATCTGATGCAACGAATGGAAAAGTGGTTGCTAGTGGAAATGGACGAGGGAATAAAGCTCATCAATTGAATAATCCATATGATGTAATTATCGACAAAGAGAGCGATAGTCTCATCATCAGCGATTACGGGAATAACAGAGTAGTTCGATGGCCTCGTCAAGATGGTACTCGTGGAGAAACAATTATTTCAAGTATCCCTTGCAAGGGTTTGACAATGGACGATAATGGTTGTCTCTATGTCGTTGATCGGAAAAAATATGAAGTGAGACGATATGAAATTGGTGATACTCAAGGAACAGTGGTTGCAGGTGGCAATGGAGAAGGAAATCGTCTCGATCAACTCTCTGAGCCCTCCTACGTATTTGTCGACCGAGATCATTCAGTTTATGTGTCAGATTGTTACAATCATCGTGTCATGAAATGGGAAGAAGGTGCAACACAAGGCATTATCGTCGCCGGTGGTCAAGGGAAAGGAAATAGTCTTACACAATTGAGTTATCCTAATGGAGTCGTTGTCGATCAATTCGGTACTGTCTATGTGGCTGATTTGGGTAATCATCGAATCATGCGTTGGCCAAAAGGAACCACACAAGGAAGTGTCATTGTTGGTAGAAATGGTGAAGGAGCACAGTCGAATCAACTCGCTTACCCCAGAGGCTTATCATTCGATCCACATGGCAATCTCTATGTCGTCGACATGAATAATCATCGAGTACAAAAATTTAATATCTAATGAACTCAATACGATGATCAGTTTTTTTGTTTCGCTCTTTTTTTGTGTACTCAAAAAGTGAGTACACCCTAGACCAGGTCGGTCGGTGC